AGATATAATATAACATGAAAATATACCTAAAGCCTGACCTCTAGAATTTCAGAAATACCTTAGCAAAAGTTGCGGAAAGCTCTCAATTTATGAGCCTTGCCAGAGTTGCAAACATAAGTTTGCAAGGTAGCGACATAGTCAAAGAAGAGAAAAACTCTCAAACACACATGGGGGTAACACCACAGTCAACCATGGAGGATACGAAATTCTCTACATGCAGACTTCAATGTAAAATGATGATCCACTAGAAACACCATTCACCAGATGGAACAGAAAGGAAACAAAACTGCAAGTGACCTTGCAGGTCACAATGAAACAGATAGGTCATGGGTCAGGCAGGTACAGTGCTAGTTGATTCCATATCTATAAAACATAAAAAAAGGTTGACAAAGCTTTCATGGTGGTCTTTCAACCGGAGGAAAGCAAGAGCAGGAACTTCCAAAAGTTAAAAATATGGAAAGACAATGAAGGCAAAGTAGGTGGTTGACGATGGTAGAGATCTGGTGCCCCCGAAAAAAAGAACAAAAGGTCCGACCAGGAACCGATCATGAAAGCAGATGATTCAAGTTCAAGAACTATACTCTGTTTATAATATTTTAATGAGGAGTTGGAGTTCGTTCCCGCTCCCAGTGCCGTTTCGTACTTAGTAGCCTGGCCACCACTCCGTCTGCCGCTCTTTCCGGGCCGTATGTGTAGCATAGCAAGAACATGTACAGCGTCGGAATGCTTGAACCTTGTACTACTATCGGCTCGCTTACACCCACCACGCCCCCCACCTTTGTTTTACGGTTTCGGAGCTTCGTATGCAAAAGCCGCCAGCCGCTGGTTGGTTGCCACGCGCGGAGTTCCCCTCCCCCTCCCTCTCTCTCCGCGCGTTGTAGGGTAGTGGGCGGCCTACCTCGCAGGCGTCCGAGCGACAACTCGTGTAGCGGCGACATGTGGTAGCGGGCGGCTGGCGGCCTACCTCGCAGGCTCCTGGTTAAAATGCGGGCCTGTTCGTAATATGAAGAAAAATCGTTAGTATAAGAGCTATAGCTGCTCCGGATCCTTTGTTACGTTATAAACCCGATTCCTCGCAACGAACACTGCTGTTAGTAAGGAACTAAGAGTGTAGACTGGACCGGATTGGACGCTCACTGTGTTGGAATCAGTCAACTAACTGAGGAGTTGCACACCTACCGAGTTGAACACTTTCGAGTGTTAAGCAGTTGTACCCTTTGGTTTATCAGTGCAACAAAGTTGAGTGTTAGAGCAAGTTTGGATCCATTTTTTGAGAATTTTGCGCAATTCATTATATTAAAATGCTCACAAATAAGCTGCTGGGTTAGGGACTTACAATCAGGGCTGTAAACGTTACTTAACGGAGTAACGACGTTACGCCGTTACCGTTACTGTAACGGTAACGGAACAAGTTACATTTTGTCAGAGGGCGCAGACGCGTTACACGTTACGTGACCCCAGTAAAGTGTAACGGCGTTACACTTACCGATAGTACATCAAAACATCGCGTTTGACGGCCGCCACGCCACCAAACCGATCGGCAAGGTAACGAACGACGCGCAAATACTGGGCTGCTGTCGAGTGCCAGTGTAGAATGCTTCTTCGCCAGAACAGGACTTGCCCTCTCTTATTTCCGAAATTCCATTGGCGAAGAAAATTTTGAGAAGATGGTCCTGCTCTGTGTGCACAAATTATACTGGGGGGTAGCATAGTAATGTATGGCAATAGTTGTATCTTTCCAATCACACTTTGTTGAAAAATACACATTTTTTCTATTTTTCTGATTTTTTGGAAAAACGCAACGCCGTTACACGTTATAACGTAACGGAACCGTTACATTTCTGCCAGGGCTGTAACGGTAACGCTTTACCGTTACGTAGCTCCGAAATAACGCGTAACGCAACGCGTTACTTTTAAAATGTAACGTTAACAGCCCTGCTTACAATGACGATCTGAAAAATTTGTTAAGAGTTCTCAAACGAATACTATTAAACCTGAAAAAAAGTTCATTGTTGAAATTGAAACCAGCGTTTCTAGTTTAGAGTATAAGTTTCATATCTGTGTTGTGTGTTTTGAGATGAAAGAGGGAACATTTTAGGTTGTTTACTAGTTCGTCTTCGGGATCGTCTGGAAAGTACATCCGCCCGAGTACAGTAATTCGGCAACTGGCAACCTACGAGAGCTGAGAGCTCGCGCTCGCGGCGCGGGGCGCCTGCAAGACTCAGCGTAGGCCAACCCGCGGTACACGCACGCGCGGCAGGCAGGACGTTGCCTACCATCTAGGCGCTATAAGACCTAGCGTTCTCTGAACTTGGCAGTTTCGTAACCTTAAATGACGGACGCACTTTCTGGACAATTAACCCTCCCTAGGCCACAACTTTACAAACCTTTTTGTCGGTGTTTGACAGAAGAAAGATCAAAAAGGAATTTAACACAATAAGAAAATAATCGATTTATTTTAATGGTGTTTACAGGTCTGTCCCCTTATGAAGTCACGGGCTCAGAAGTACCGTGAGCTACGCGGCGCGTTAGTCGGACCTGCAAACCGCCCCTCCCCAACTGACAGCCAGGTAAGTGAAAGCAACGTGACCTCCCCGCCTTATTCCCCCAAAATCACAACTCGTTTTCGATGCTCTGCTTTTGCTTTTCCCGCAAAACTTCGCGGCCCGTGTGACGTCATACGCACTCAGCACTCACTCGCCCCGGGCTCGTGCTTGGGGGTAAGGTGCTCTTGCGGCTCGCACGCCTTGGGGTGCGCTTTGCCGCATCAGGCCGTCCCTGCCCGCGGTGCGATGTAGTTTTAGTTGTTATTGCAAGTTGTAAAAATAACTTGTGATTTTTCTTGCCACGCTCGGCTCCGGTCCCGGCTGCCCGCAGCTCACTTGTGCCACCCCAGCTCCACCTCCAGCCACCACCCGCCGACGTTGCGCGGCAGGATAGACTCTTGCTTGGTGAGTCCACTTGACTGTCAGGAGACGACCTGCCGCCGTGCGGGTGGGGGGCCCGTCCTCGGCGCCGCGAGCCCGCGCCTACGGCCACTGGCCTCTGATTGTCGCGTGACTGAGATTCGTGGCCGCTAGCCTGACATTGTAGTGAGGAGAATTGTCCGATGACTCATCCTTTCAACTGACTTTGCACAGGGGTCCTAGGTGTGTATGTATTCTCTTTTCAATTTGGCTATGCCAACTCTCGATAGAAATCGGAATCGGGAGGCCGTTACGCCGTTATGGTGGTGTAGCTGCAGCACGCGATACGCCCCCAGGCGAAAGTGTCTCCCGGGCCGGCTTCAAGACAAAAACCATATGGAAATCCATTCATTGTGTTTTCTACAGACATTTTTATCTGTTTTTTTTTTTTTTTTTTTTTGTTTTTTTACGAATCCGCACAAGTTCCATGTGCGTATTTGTCTGAATTTTGACTGTTTTCTCGTGGACTTGTTATTTTCCATGCGGGCTCAGTATGTTTGCGGGGTCTCGTGCCTTATTTTTTTTTTATTCCTCCCACAGTTTTTTTTTAATTTTAAACTTCTTCTGGTAGCTTTCCTAGAAATATTGGGGTTTTCAAATTAAAGGGTGTGTAATTTAAAAGGCCCTTCTGCAAAGTTTGAATGATGAGTCGTTGAGGGCATTTTCCTTCGGGCAAAATAAAGTCAAACCAACCACGCCACCGAGTACTGGCCATGCGTCCGGTTCCGCCGTGCGTCGTGGGGCGGCTCCGGTCTCTTTCAGCTTCCAAGCCGACACGCGCCCCAACCCAGCGCTCGCCTCGACTGACGGGCTAGCGCGCAGAGAGCTGACCGGTCGTCAGTAACGTGGGAAACGCTCATCTCTGCGTGTGCGAGCCTCGGGGTGGTTTCAGTTTGCTCGGGAAGCGGGACAGAATCCAGTGTGGCAAGAAATCTTTTCTGAATTAGTCGAAATTATTTCAATAATGGCAAACGCCAGGGTGCGTCAAAGCAAAAGATAGGCAAAAGCGATTAGTAACACCCAACAACAGTTCAAGGGACCCCAGGTCTAAAAGTGTCTCGTGGGTTCTCGAAGTACACACTTTCATTAATAGTGTGCGCTTAGGTTGGATGTCTGCTACATTCCCCGAAAACGATTTTGCTTTTGCTTCGCTATGAAATTCAATTTTTGATTTTCGGGGAATTTTGGGGATTACACTTCATGCTTTCCATGCTACTCTGAACAATTCAGTTTGAGAAACGGCTGCCAATCTGTTCGTATTATTTTTGTCATTATGGTTCTTGGTTTTTATCATCTACCAAAAAAGTCTGCTGCCGCCAACCGAAGTCCTAATTCTTGGTTGTGTACTACAGGAAATTATATATTATAAATGGGAGCAGAAACATTTTTTGAAAACATGCAAGGTATAGTAAACAAAGTATTCTTATAGTTTGCTACTTGTGTGTATTTTTGTTTTTTAATGTTGCTCATTTCATACTCATTCTGTTTTCTTTTTCACATAGTTTTACATATATATTTAACATCTTCGCACTTTAACAAGGATTTAGAGATTTAAGAAAGAGTCAACAGTCACTTCCTTTGTACAATAGCATTACACTTTTGAATGTTACAATTTTACAATGGTGTGTCCATAGTCTTTTAAACACTGTTTAACAAGTCTTTAATTTAATTCTTAAAATAAAACAACTACACATCACTTTGCATACAGTCTGAGCATGAGTCATAATCACCCAAATCTGTAAATCATGGTCTATGAACAAAAACCAGAACTTGATTTTGATGCACTCATGAACTTTCTTCAATTTTTTCTTTTATTTCATAAACGCCTTCAGTCTGTGGAGTAGAGTCCCTTTTTTCCTCAACTGTCCCTTGCCCCTTTTCTGTTGGCAGTCCTCTTGTATGTATCCAATTACATGGATTTTGATGCCCTTAATCAAAAATGAAGAGTGTGCACAGGTACTCTCACTTATAGTGGTGATAAAGATCTAGAGGAGGAGAACTTTATAAAATTTACAAAACAATTCTTGGTTCCTATAGTGTGCTTGATTATCTTTATATTAAAATTTAGACAAATAACCTCGCGTCATCTGAAAAAATCGAGAAAAAGCTAATCCTATAGCCCTAGCCAGTCATAACTTTAAACTACTAACGATTGGCAACAATTATAAGATTAAGTGCAAAGCACTCTTTTTATTCTTTAATTGTAAAAAAATGTTTTATATTTTCCTTTAGTCTAATACTTTTGTGTGGCAAGGTGCATATCTACTAATTAATTTTAGTTTATCACTCTGTTTAATAAACTACTTGGTACCTGAAGTAGTATACAAATGTGCATGCCGTATTGTGCGTTTTTGTATTCAGATAGCTAAGAAGATGTTTTTTAGTTTTATTATGTGCACATCTTCTTTGGATTTATTTTTCTGAAGAAGACATCATTTTAGACATTAGACAGCCAAGTTATTAATGATTAAATGGCACAATTTGAAAAACTGCACTTCCCCAACTTAATACTCTCAACCAGTACATACAATTCCTTTTATCATATATAAAATAATGTTAGTGCAACATGCCTAATTCCCCTCATTTTTGAGCAAGATGAGTAGGCTCGTTCCTTTTATTTTTGTAAATGATTACAGCAGCACCACTGCACCTGTTACTTGATTATTCAAAAACACTTTTACCCTGCCTACTCAGGTTCCATGACAATGACATTTACACACCTCACCTAATGATAAAATTAAGTATCACACATTGGGTATGGCTAGTTTGTATAAATAGAACTAAATATAATTGAGGCACAAAAGGTAACATGCATAAGGACGTCTTTTCCCCTAATAACTAGAAAGAGGTCTGATAAGTTCCCCTTCGGCTTGAGCATTGGATGGGGAAGCTACAGAGAGATGAATCTTTCAAGACACAGTTCTTACACACTTTGTTTGAAATGAAACAGCCTGGAATTCAAAAAGTGCACTTAAGCTAGCAGTTAAAAACGTTGATTGAACACATTATATCACTTTGTAACATATGAACACATAACACCACCAAAAATAGTGAAGAGCATTATTATTAATAATAAAAGTATTGACACATGATTCAATCTGATAGGGTTTTATAAACCACAGAATTGCAGAGGTAAGGATAATTTCCTTGCACTGACTTACAGGGAATAAAAATGGCAGTCAATGGTTAAAAACACACATTACTCAAAAAATGTTGGCAAAAAGTTGTATAAGTGGAACACAAGTTGTATGGACAAAAAAGTTGCGATAAAAAAAATTCTGTGCAGGCAGTGTTTCAGCAGCACATACCCTATGGCTACTCTGAACTCCAAGCTGTTCATAGATCGTGCCTGTCACTCTATCATGGCCTATCCAGTCATGGGACAATTGAGGAAATTCTGAGCGTTTTCTTTACTGGGACTCCCCAGGTGCCCTGCACCTGGTTTTGCCACCCTACACGGTGCTCTCTAGCTCCATGCGGATGTACTCCACAGACCTGGCGTGCTGTCAGGAGTTGGCGTCCAGCAGCAGTTCCGACGTCGGGACGCGGCGCGGCTGGTTGGCGATGGCGTCGCCGTCGACACCCGACAGCCGGCGCCCGGTGCCGTCGCTCCGCCGGCGCGTCTTGGTGCGGCGGTAGGTGCCCGGCAGCGAGCCGCCGCTCAGCCCCGCGCTCAGCGACCCGCGGCTGCCGATGGTCCCCCTGCTCGAGGTGACGCTGCTCAGGGTGCCGACGCCGCTGCCGCCGCCGTAGCCCAGGCCGTTGTCCTGCTTGGCCAGCAGGCGGCGGCGGCGGGCGCGCGCGCGGCACAGCACCAGCAGCAGGCAGCCGAGCAGCAGCGCCACGCAGCCCGCGCCCGCGCTCGCCATGGCGAAGTAGAGCCCGCCCGGCAGCCAGGTGAAGATGCGCCTCCCGATGTACTCGCACTTGGGGTCGGCCTCGTCGAACCCGGACGGGCAGTTGGGACGGCCGTCGCACCACAGCGACTCGCTGATGCACGCGCCGTCGCACCACAGCGACTCGCTGATGCACGCGTTGAGCTCCGGGCACCTGAGAGAGACGGAGGTTAGAGCGTACCTTAGGACGATAAACTAGAGTAGACTTTCGCGTGGACGTTCGAGAGCGCGGCACTCACTTGTGAGGGCAGTCCCAGCCCAGGGCGAGCGAGCTGTTGCCCTTCGGGACGAGTTCGGGCGGCGGCTTGGCGCCCTTCTCGCCCGTCTGCGACCACAGCCGCTGCTGCAGGGCGAGCTTGGGCCGCGAGATCTCGAGCCAGTGCAGGGCGGCCGAGGCCTGGTCGCGGCCCACCCACTCCACCAGGAAGCTGGGCGAGCTGAGGGCGCCCGGGCCGCCGGGCCCGCCGGGCATGCTGGCGGCCACCGCCGAGTACGACAGCGTGCCCGGAGGGGCGGCGGGGAGCTGCTGGCCCGCCGGCAGCCCGAACCACTCCTCCGAGAACACGTGCAGCGAGAAGTGCCGCTCCCGGTGTCCGAGCGGGCACACCACCCGCAGCAGCCTGGAGAGAGGAGACAGGCGAGATTAGTCGACATAAACCCCCGGGGAGGTAGGTGCGCGGCCACAGCGCAGACCGCCCGCCTGGGTAGGCAACCCACTTCCCACGCGTGGCCTTGCGCGGCCTACCCCGAGTTAGTCGGGCGTTTCGCGCTGCGAGCTCTCTTCTCCTCTTCCACCCTTATAATTATTTTTATTTTGAACAAAAACACGCCGCATACTATTTTTAACCAAAAAAAAAAAAAAACAATTTTTGAACTAAAAATGTTTTGGAGACCAAAAGACGTTTTTACCTAGAGGTCTGAACACCACACATATAAACAAAAAACGTTTTTCAAAAACTTGAAAAGTTTTTTCAAAAAAAGAAAGTCTTGTTTCTGACCTGAGCGGGCGGCCCGAGTAGAGCAGGATGCGGCTGCGCGTGTGGCAGCGCGAGGGCGAGGACGCCGAGTCGTCGACGGGGCCCGCCACGGGCAGGAAGCTGCCCCAGGTGAGCAGGAACAGGCTCTTGTTCTCGTGCGCCTCCACCATCCACGGCATGCCGTCGCAGTTGAGGTCGGAGCGGCTGGACGCGGGGCTCTCGAACTCGATCTCGCCGCCAGCCCCTCTGCGGGTAAGTGATATCATATTTAATGTTTTCCGAAAAAACTCCGGAAACTTTCCAGGGTTTCCAGCCCTAACCCCATTGCCATTTTCACCCCGGGGTAAAAATATCATGAGGTCCCTCGAAGGAGTCATGATTTTTGTACCCAACTCTTCCTCCAGGTCCCTCACCTCAGTCTTTGTTTCCTTGAGCATTCGTTGCTGCGCACCATCTCGAACGTGGCGTGGAAGTGGAGGTTGTCGAAGTCCTCGGTGACGTTGAGCTGCGAGACGGTGAAGGTGAGCTCGAGGACGCGCGACGCCGACGTGTAGACGAAGGGGCGGGCGGCCGCGACCGTGGCGTTGTCGCAGAGGCAGGCGCGCGGCAGGCGCACGTCCCGCCACGGCACCTCCCACAGGCGCAGCTCGGCCGTGCGCGCGCCCACGCCGTACGCGCACGTGGGCCGGGCCGTGTGCGGGTCCGGCACCGTGCTGCACACGTCGGCGCTCTCACCGAAGGCCGCCTTGTCGATGGTCAGGCGGATCTGTCGGCCCAAAAGTCAGAAAAATTAAGAACAAAATCAAAAAAATCGAAAAAAATTATTAAGAAACAATCAGACAATCGGAGTACATTTTAACTCATAAGTGCATCAGAGGATCCGACACCATGATATATGTACCCCAGAGTAAAAAATGTCATGGAGTTCGAGCTCTATCGGTACGCTGAACCTCCCGAAGGCAGGAGCCATATCATTTGTACCCACCCCTCCCTCCGAGCCACGTAGTTACACGCTCCGCTTACCCGCTCGTTGGAGGCGGCCTCGATGCGGTAGATGCACGACAGGTTGGCCGCGCCGCCCCGGCCGAACATGAACACGTTGCGGGGGGAAAACACCTCGCCGGAGCGCAGCCGGCGGAACAGGCGCGCGCAGGGGATGGGGGGTCGTGACAGCGGCCTGCCCGCGGCCGACACGGCGCCCGTGGCCAGCAGGGAGCCGCGACCCGTCCAGGGCTCGCCGCCCAGGTTCGTGTCCACGAACTCGTACTTCAGCCTGCACAGGCGGAATTTGGTGAAATGGTCAATTTGGGAAACAACCCTTCGAAACAACGTTCCCGCGCGCGCTGGCCTCGTCTGCCTCACCTCCAGTGCGCCGGGTGGAGGGCGGTGCCCTCGGCCACGAAGTGCTGCAGCGTGAGGTCGGTGCCGGACGACTCGTAGCTCTCGTGCGGGCCGCACGAGCGCGTCGCCCGGGTCGCGTTGCCGAGCGCCGCGTGCGCGCAGAGCCGCGGGCCGTCCGCGTCGCAGTGGGAGGCGAGCAGCGGCAGGCCGGAGGTGCCCCCGCCGTCCCAGATCCGCAGCCGCATGGAGCACGACGAGGACGACGGCGTGGTGGGCGGGTCCGCGGCCGCGCCGAGGTGCGGGTGGCTCGCGTCGGCCCGGTGGTGGGTGCGGGTGCCACCGAGGCCGATCCAGGGGCTGGGTGGCGGCGTCGCTGGAGCCCTGTGAACAAAGCCGAGAAGTGAGCGAACCGGTACACACACAAAGTTAGAAACAAAAGAAAAATGACCGTATCAAGATATCAAATTTTTGATTTTTAGACAGTCCCCAAGACTGTCTCGACCAGGCGCTGACGCCTACCTTGTGGGCAGGATGAGCAGGTGGTTGTGGAGGGCGGGCGGCCGCGACGTGGTGGTGGACGTGGCCGGCGTGGCGAGCACGGAGGGCAGCCCGGCGGCGGGCGCGAGCAGCGAGTAGTGCGAGTAGGCCATGAAGTAAACCCACACCGTGTCGCCGGGCAGGCCGTGGAAGCGGTAGGTGCACGTCGTGTTGGGCGGCAGCGTGTGTCGGGGGCTGAGGACGCCGCCCGACCGGGGCGCGCCCACGGCCCACGACGTCGCGTTGATCCAGAACTCGCACCTGACGCAAATTGAAAAAAAACAAAAAAAAAACACACACAACACAATTAGCTGAGTTTAGAAGTTTGCCGCATATTTATTTGTTCTCGCGAGCAAACACAACATGTCCGGGACCCACTAGTAATGAAATTACGAGCGTTGCGGATCGGGGGAGCTGGGTCGGCGGCAACAGCCCAGTGCGCCACCAACCCGCACCCCCGCCCCCTCCCGGCCCCCCGCAGCACGCTCTACGAAACACACCGGGCATTACATGTCGCTCATTCATTAGGGAAATGCCAAAGTTTGTTTGAAAACACGCGCGCGGCAACACTGACCGGACCTCACAGAAGCAATTTAGTCCTCCACCGCCAATCTGAATATGAAAGTGTGTGTGCGCCGAGCGGGTGCGGTACACGCGGGCCTAATACCGCCGCGGGCGCAGTACAGAGGGGGGGGGGGGGGTACAAAATAGTCCGCCGCCGATACGGGAGTCGCGGCGAATCTATGCCCCACAGTACCTCCCCGTACAAATCCCCGGAGGGCATATCTATAATACTCCGCCAAGTAAAGATGGTATAAAACACCTGTGCATTTAGTGCCGGGGAGTACGGGGGTTTGTACAGCCATTCCAACACCGGCTCGTGATGTATTTCCATTCATATCGTACACTGCGTACACGGTATACACGGGCAGCCGTTGCGCCCCCCCCCCCCACCACAGTCGCTATACGCGCTGTCCTCGCCGCTATTCGTTCTGTGCGCTTGGCGCGGTGCCCAGGATTTCCTCTCCGCCCCCCCCCCCACCACCACCACGCTTGCGTTATTTCTACTCTGTGCCCTTTCAGACCAACCACCTCCTACCCACCCCCAGCCTGTCTCTGTGTGTATATGTCCGTCTCTCTCTTATTTTCCTCGCCCAGCGCGGAACGCTAGTCGCGCGCGGTTGTGAGAGGCCCATGATGGTCATGGTGTGGCGACGGGACGTCGTCGCTCCCCTCTCCGGCTGAGCGCCACTGCACGTTTTATGCATATCGCTCCACCCCGCCCCGCCCCGCCCCGTCATTTCTCGCCGGGTGGCATTGCCACCCCCTTCATGCGTCAGGACACACCGCCTCGCCTCCGTCCCCATACCTTCCGCAAGCACCGGCCGCCACCATGGCTGCTGCTGCTGCAACCCCCGCCCTCCCCTCCCCGTCCATGTGACTGACCCGAAGCAACGCCAGAGCTACGCCGCGCCGAATTGTTTGCTTGTGTTCTGAATATGAATGAGCCCCTTTACCCCGCCGCGCTGCTGGATGGAGCTGCTGCACCCCGCCACCACCCCACCGCACCCCGCCAACACCCCGCTAAACCCCACCGCACCCCGCCAACACCCTACCGCACCCCGCCCAACACCCCACCGCACCCCGCCAACACCCCGCTGACGCCTCGGCGGCACCTCAGCGGCACCTCGAGAGGCATGTTTCGTCTCTGTCACCCGCCTCTCCCCCACCAGTAAACCCCTTAAAGCTGCTCAATCGGAATTCGTGCGAGATGAGAGGGGGAGGGAGGTGGGGGAGAAATGGTAAAGAGGGGTGGGGCACTCATTGCCCCCCGTGCCCCGGCAGCGAGCGGGCCGGAAAGGGGACCACCACCACCTCCACCACCACCACCACCACCTCCACCTCCACCACCACCACCACAGCCAGCGAGAGCAAGCGAGATACGGGGGGTGGCTGTAGCGTAAGGGTTGCCCCACTCACGGCCTGCTGTGGTTCCAGTTCCAGTCCGTACACTGTCGCTGCTGCTGCTGCTGTCGGCTCTGGCAGCAGCAGCGACAAGCGCTATGGCTTATACAGCGCAGCGTTAGTGGAACATGCAATAAGCAGCCCAAGGAGCGTGGCGCGTCGTAATATGCTCAGATCTGTCCTCCTCTGCTACGGAAGTTCTCGGAACCTTTTAGAAGACTGGCACAGCAGCCGCGACTCTCAGCCAGCAAATGCATTTTTCATCTCGTTCGGAGCCCGCGGGTCTTCGCCTGGGTCTGACCCCGCCCCCACCCTCCATTCAACCTTTTCTCGTCCCACCGCCTTCCCACCTGTCCTCGGAGACCGGCCAACCCAGGCATGCCGGGCCGGGGTCTTGAGAGCGAGAGAAAGGCGTTTAATTTTGGGGTTGAGGTAGTGGTGTGCCCGTTCCGTATTCTCGCGGGCGATGCCGGCTCGGGGGTCGTTCCCCCCCTTGTCCCCCCCCCCCTGTCCCCGCCCCTTTCCCTCTCCTTCCCCCTTCCGCGGCAGACTTGGGGGACTGTTCCCCGCCCCCTGGGAGGAGCACGTCAGAGAACTCCACACAACGGACGCCAAGTCCACTGCAGTGGCCCCCCGGGTGGCCGGGCGAGGACTGGCGGGGCGGGGGGCGGGGCAGGGTGGGGTTGGGTCGTAGAGCCGCACAAAAACGGTCGGTTGGCGCTGGCGGGTCGCTTGTCGGCACGGATTCGAAACGCCAATGGACTGTTCAAATCTCGAGCGCTAAAAACTATGTTTCTTCTCTTCCGAAACACTCGGCTAACTGAATTACCTACCTACAATCTAGAATGGTGACACAATTGTATACCTAGCCTAGGCAGGCACAATCTAGCTTCTTTCCAAGCTCAGGCACATATTTGTATGCCTGCACATCTGCCCAAAGCACGCTAAAACGCTGTCCTTCCCTATTCCTGAATATCAATCTAGCTACAACCCATGCTTACCCACATCCCCGTGCCCGGGGGAACGAAGAGGAGGGTGCAGAGTGGGGGAGGGGGAGGGGGTCGATCTCATGTGACGGGATAGGAGAAAGTAGGGAAGGAAATATACCGTGTGGGGAGCGCCTATATGGGCGTAACTGGACACCCCCTGGCACACACAGGCGCGCACAAATGCTCTCTAAAAAAGAACGACGCTACAGCGTGTGCATAGTCGATCGGCCGCAAGGGGGGCGGGGCCGGGCCGCCCGGGCCGCCTGACTGTCGGGGCCAGCCTCCGGCCCCTGCCGCCCCCGCCGCCCCCGGCTGCGGCCGCCACCTCTGCCCCCGCCCCCTTCCCCCTTCCTCATCCCGAGCCGAGCAACGCACCCGGGGTTCGGTTATTGGAAATGGACTGCTGCGGATCTGAAAGGACCGGAATGGCCTGGGGGGCCACCAGCAAGGGGACACGGAAGCGCGCGCGGACAGGGTTGGAGAAGGGGGCGGGAGTAGGTGGGGACAGGGCAGCCATCGGACAGACCAGCCCCTGCTGTCCCAGCGGACGCACGCGTGCTAGCAACGAACCATAGACGGACATACACAGGCAGACAGACAGACTGAGCTCACTGCAGGGTTGTGGCATCTTAGCATCTGGGAGTCCGCCGGGGGAGGGGGTGGGGAACGCGTCAGGAGGGGGCGACGGCGTCCAAGTCCCTGCTGAGTGAAGGAATGAATTAAACGGACATGCAAATTAGAGCAAACCTCCTCGGGCTGCGAGGGAGGGGGAGAGATAGAGAATGGTGGAGGGGGGGGGGGCGAAGGGACGGGCGGAGCAGAGGAGCGAGGAGAGGCGGTAAGAATAGGAGTCAAGTAGAGAAGCGCAGGAGCGGGCCAAGGGGCGGGCCAGGGGAGAGGGATCGCGGTGCAGCGGGAGGAGGAGGGGGAGGCGGAACTGGAACGCACAGCGACATCGGCGAGGACCCCCGCCCCACCCACCTCACACACAGGCGCCCCTTCTTCCCACTTTGCTTCTCGCTCTTGGCTCCATTTGTGTTCGGGATTGCTCGCCGCGTCAGCCGAGGAGGAAAAAGGGAGAGGCTGAGGGGGAGGAGAGGATGGGCGGAGGGTTTAGGTCTCCGCTCAGCCACCCAGGGGCGCCCCCGCCCGGGGCCGTGCCGGGGACGGAGCTGCTCTCCTTGACCTCGTTAGAGTCCGTGCCCGCGGGCCGCGACGCGCGCCCGGGGCTGGGCCGGGCCGGGCTCGGGGCCCAATCTATTAAAAGTGTTAGCTCAGCTAAGTGACGGCTCGGCGTGGGGGGGGGGGGGGCGAACGGCGCGGAGCACATGAGCCGCATGGAGCGGGCCGTACCGGGACGGAGACGTGGGCTCGGCAGCGTCCCCGCTCTCGCAAAGGGGACCACCCGACTCCCTTCCCTCTCCCCCATGCCCTCTGGGAAGTCGCGAGCGGAGTGCCAGCTTCTAAACGTAAACTGAAAGTCACTTGATATTCTCGGGTTAACACAGTCAGAGAGAAAGGCATAGCGGCGGGAGAGGATTGGGGGAAGGGGGACCCCCATACACCCCACCCCCGCTTCCAGAGTCTGGGCCCGTTCCCGTGGGAGGACCCGAGCCGATGGCTAGCCTCCACCCGCCCCAAACCCCGGTCGACGGCCGAAACCGCCGCCACCGCCCCGAGGCTCGGCTACACGGTAAATACTACTCACTTCCTGGGGTCCCGCTGGTAGTCGAACGAGTCCGAGTCGGAGAAGAGCACGTCCACCTCGAGCTCGAAGCCGCGCAGCGGGCTGAGCGTGTGCAGCGGCGCCGAGAAGGCCGACGAGTGGAAGGCGACGAGCATCTCGGGCCCGCGCGAGGCGACGCGCGGCAGCAGGTCGCCGCCGCACCAGCGCAGCAGCACCGGGTCCGACTGGGACGGGCCGTCGTAGAAGACGAGGTAGTCGCGCTCCCCCTGCGCGCCCGAACAGTCGTCCCACACGCGCACCGCGCGCGACGTCTTGTTGAGGCTGGCGGGCGCGGAGGCGGCGCGCTTCATCTGCACCTGGCCGAACACGAGCAAACCCTGTCACGGACTGAGGGACACTTCACTATTCAAGAATTTTTCTTGATTATTTTTTCTGATTTTTTCCTGAACTTTTCTGATTGCTTAACTGTTTTTTCTGATTTTTTCCCCTATTTTGCTGCTTAAAAAACAAACAAACTGAGATTATCCTTTATTTTTCCACCGCCGTTGCCTCACCTTGTGCTCGGCGTTCTGGTGCACGCTGATCATGGCGTGCTTGCAGTGCGGCACCTCCTTCTGCCGCAGGTTCAGCAGACACGTCACGTTCCGCGGGTACATCCCCGGGTAGTTGGGGCTCTGTAGCTTGCACTTCTTCCGGTAGCACTCGTCGAACTGGCGGCTGCAGTACGTGCCGGGGACGCCCTGCAACATTACAAAACAACGTCGTCGTCACGATGTACAAACACAACACATCGCATTATTTGCCCTTTGCCTTATACTTTTCCCGACAACGCTGCATTGATTTCGCGTTTGCTTGCTTTCCAACGTTGAAAACGCCAAAGCGGCATTATCCGAGAGCGGTTTACCTATTCAGACCCTGGCTGCTCTGCTTCGAGGAACTGGAGGTGCAGCGGGCTCCGCGTAGGTACTTCTAGTGATTGTTCCCCCCAAACCTGGCATATGCCAGTATGCCATAGTGCGACACAGTCCCGCAGTCGCTCCTTTAGCCGCAGCAGAGCAGTAGGGCAGTTTCAGAGAGCGGGAGGGAGAGGCCGGAGGGTGAGAGAGAGAGGATGAATAGGGAGGAGAGAGGGAGGGAGGCGAGATCGAGCGAGCGAGGAGCTCGCTTTCCAAACGGGATGCATGATGTATGGGCAGCCAGCCATTCCGGGCATTGTCAGGCACCTGCCCCTGCCCCCTCGCCCCCTCCCCCCGTACCAATTCGCCGCGGTATGAGGGAAATTCAGTGGGATTAGCGTGCAGCCCGACAAAGACCCTCGCTTCCGGCCTACCCGGGAGGGACGTGGGGCTACGGTGCTGCTGCTGCTGCTGCTGCTGCTGCTGTTCGGGGAGTCGCGGGCGGAGCTGGTGGTGACGAGAACGCTGAGAAGTATAACTCGTGTGCTTTTTGTCGGGAAGCCGCCCCTCTGCACCGCCCGTCAGCCAGCAACGCCGGGGAACGGGGCTGGGGATAAAATCGTAATAAGGAAGAGGAGAGAGCGAGAGAAAGGGGGAGGGGGGGAGGGGAAGCAAAGGCGCCGGATGTGACGGTTGTCGCCGCGCGGTGGTGGGAGGAGGTCCGGGACCGCTGAGGACTATGGACCACCACCGCCGCCACCACTCTGCGGAGTCCTCTTTCCTTTCCTCTTTTGTCCGAGTGGCGCGGTGTGGATCAGGTGGAGCGAGATTAGTTTATGATTATGGTGGTGGGCGACGACATTATTCTAATTTTTTGAGTGAAAGAAAACAGTAGCAGCGGAGGGGGAGGGGAGGGTTCCGTCCGAAAAGGCAGCGCGGCGACCGTGCAGTATTGGCGCCGCCGAGGCGAGCAGTGCCAGAGGGGATCCAGGTGTGAAGGAGGAGGGCTAGGTAAAGATAGTTCACAACAAAAAAACGTTAACCATTCTTTTGTTAACCCTTTCTCTGAAAACGCAAGTGTGTGAATGTCGCTCTCCTGCAGGTGTGTGAATATCCATTCGTACACTTAGACGGGTAAAGGTGTGAATTTTTACTAGAAAATTCGCACGTTATACCCCTGTAAGTGTACGAATGGATATTCACACACCTGCAGGTGAGCGACATTCACACACTTGCGTTTCCAGTGTTGCCATTTCTGTGTAGGAATATAAGGTTGATTAGCATGCATTCTACTCTCGTTACGATCTTTAATCATGAAACCACCTGGCCAAATGAATATCGGTGGCTTGCTCATGCTAGTCGATTCTATATTTTTGAATTCTAGAAGCTTCCAGGAAAATTAAAAACCTTTCCTAGAGGAAAAATAAAAGAATCGGCCAATTAATGGAAAAAATATAAATGTTTTAAAAAGAAAGATCTTAAAAAATACTAAAATATTTTTTATTTTTTTTTGGAAAAATCCCTAAGATTGCCAAATGCAGTTGAAGAGCAATGTTGAAAGTAAATGAAGGGCAAGGCCAAACCCACACGCCCCGTACTCACCACGCCCCGCTCGACGAGCTTGTCGTGGCTGCCGAAGCGGACGACGGCGTCGTCCCGGGTGATGAAGCGGTACCGGAGGTGGAAGCGGAACGGGGTGGTGGCGTGCGCCGGCGTGGGGAAGAGGCGCAGCGACAGCGTCACGGTCGACACCTCGGAGAAGTAGACCGTGTAGCCCGAGGACGGGCCGCACCAGACGCCGCCGGTGAAGGGGCGGCCCAGCTCGGCCAGCGTCATGTGGCCGTCGGGGCAGCCCTCGTCCGCGGCGTGCTTCAGGTAGCGGCCCACGTGGAACTCGTCGAAGATGAGCTGCAACACAGCATAGCGCGAAAATAGATTCAAGTTTCTCATTTTTGCGAGGTACAAACGTTTTCAAAATAACATCA